TAAAAAAATAACAATAATAACAAAGTCATGCACTGGTGGTTCATGTCTATAATCCTAGCTACTCAGGAGGCTGAGATCTGAGGATTGTGGTTCAAGACCAGCCTGGGCAGGAAAGTCCAAGACTCTTATCCCCAATCACCAGAAAACCAGAAGTGGCACTGTGGCTCAAGTGGTAGAATGCCAGCCTTGAACTGAAGAGCTCAAGGACAGGACCCAAGCCCAGAGTTCAAGCCCCACAATCAGAAAATAAATAAATAAATAACAAGACTGGGAAAATATGAGGTATTTGGCTTTTTTATTTTGGCTTATTTCATTCAACATAATGATTTCAGCTCCATCTACTTTCCTGCAAATGACATGATTTCATTTTCTTTCAGGCTTAGTAATAGCCCATGGTATACATTTGTTCATCCATTCATCAATTGTTAGGCATCTCAGCTAGTTCCACAGTTTGGCTATTGTAAATAGAACTGCAATAAATACGATAGGCAGATACTGCTCTTGTTTACTTGCATTTGGATTATGCCCACAGTGGTATGGCAGGGTGTTAAGATGTATCTCTTTTTACTTTTTGAGGCTTCTCCATACTAATGGTAACCATCAAGAAAAAAAAATGTACTGGCCAGGATGAAGAAGGGGAGAGGAATGTAGAAACAGTTCAAGTTACTGTGGAAATCAGTGTTAAGAATCAGTATTTCTTCTGACCTCTTGGTCCTCAGAGACACAGCTCACGGGCCAGCTATTGGTAGCATTTACTTCCTTAACAGCTATCTTCTGGGGGCAGGAGGGTGGGTGCTCTGCTGTCACTAATCTGTTTACCACACTCCCCATCCAGACAACACTGACTCTTGGCCTGGCCCAAAACTGCTCAGCCCCTGGGGCCCCTCCCTCGGTTAAATAGTGGTATATACTGTGGAACCCTACTCAGCAACAGAAAAAGAAAACACCATTGTTAAAATACACAATGAAGAACAAAAGGCAAACCTGAAAGATCACATACTGATTAATTCTATTTGTATAATAATTTCAAAGTAACAACATTTTAGCAATGGTGATTTTCAAGTCTGGAGACAAGAGACAGTTATCAGGAGGATGTGGTTATAACGTCAGTATAAGGCACATGCATATAATCCCAGCCTTCAGGAGGCTGAGACAGGAGGATAACAAGTTCAAGACCAGCCTAGGCTTCATAGTGAAATCTAGTCTCAAAAACAAATAAAGTCGTTGGGGATTCCTGTGATGAACTGCTCTACCTTGACTGCAGTGGTAAACACACAAATCCCCTTGGAATAAAACCTGTACAGAACTACATATACATGTGCACACACAAATACACACCAGGGCAATCCAAGCAAATGGCTGATCTCGTTTCAATACATACTGATTGTGATACTGTACCACTGCTTTGCAAAAATGTTAGAACTGAGAAACTATGTAAAAGATAGGCTAGATTTCTCTATCACCTTTTATAACGAAATGAAAATGTACAATTATCTAAATAAAATTATCAATTGGAAAAAAAGAAAATTGCCTACCTAAAAGCTGGGCTAGATGATCTTTACTCCTTTCAGCTCAGCTAAGACCTGCAAAGCCCAAAATGAGTTTTCTTTCCATAACCGACACAATAGCTTCAAAAACCAAAGTGAAGAGAGGGATTAAACTCCTAGTAGAAGGAAACTAAAGAAAATAAACCATTCTACTTCACAGAATTCCACACTGCTAAACACTTGGCATTTACTCAGAAAATTATTCAAATTGGGTTTTATTTCACTAAACTGACTTCTGGCCAAAAGACAGAGCATGCGATCCTACAAAAGGTTCCTCTCCCTTTATGTGCATCAACGGATAGGCACAGGTACATAGGCATAGGTGCGCACACATGCGCGCACACACACGCGCGCACACACACACACGCACACACACACACACACAATCTATCAATATCAAATTTCGATCCTCAATCTAAACAGAAGCACTAATGAATTAATTATCGGTCCTTGACACCACTTTCCATCAGCTACCGGAAAGCAGAAAACAGGACAATAGGTTAGGGGCTGAGACACGTGTGAGGTCAAAGCGTGACCTTGGCCAGACCCCTAGAACCCGAGTCTGGCTTTTCCCGTCTATAGAATGGGGGTGCGGCCCCTCCTCCTGCGAGCCTGTGGTGTCTCAGGAGCAGTTCTCCGGGCCAGCACTGGAATGCCTTCGTTCTTCTCCCCACCTCGCCTGGCTTCCCTGAGTGACCACCGAGCCCAGCTCATTCCACATTCACCTGACCCCACCACCACCACCCCCTGGCCCCGGATATTTCCCTCTTCAAACACAGCCCACCCCACCCCACGAAAAGGAGAAGGATCGGCCTCGGGATGCCGACACTTGCTCAGGGAAACTGAGTCAGGCGCCCGCCCTGGACTCGGCCGATTGCAATTACAGCTGATCGATCACACTAGCTAACGGTGCGGGGAGGTGTCTCTTGATTCGTCCCCGCGGACCCCCCCCTCCCGGGACAGCACAAAACGTTCCCCACGCAGATCCAAGAAGGCACCGGGGAGGGAGTTGCGAAGTTTCGGAGCGGCTCCGCCGAGGCGAGGTCGCCGCCGGCGGGGTCA